CAGAGGGTTCAAAAAGACTTTTGATGAACGATTGTAAAAACATTAAAATAAACCCCATCGTACCAGAACTATTATTGATATGCATTTATTTCCAACAATGACGTATCATCAATATTACTTACTAAAAAACAATGGTAGCTATAGCATGTGCCCCTAATTCACGTTTGCCTTTTTATCCTGTCCAATTGTAAAGGCGTTGTACATAAGTGACACTGAGATTCTTCATTATGTTGTTAACGATGGACAGGACATCTCTGCCACCTAATCGTCCAAGTCGGTTTATCTTAAACAGAATGAAAAAAATATCACATATCAAACGAAACTATTCTTCCATAAATTCACATTTATTTTAATGTGAGTTGTCACGTCTTAAAACATGCACACCCATGCAGATTCATCATCCTGATCATTAATAAAAATGGTTACAGTTTTTTGTGAAAAAAGTGCACCAGACAAAAGCTTATCTGTCAGTGTTGTTCTAACATACCTATATCAACAAATTTGACTCGTCATTTTTTTGTTTTGGAGGGGGGGGGGCATAATATAGAGTCCATACTAATATATATGACTGTCGTTTGTCATTCTGTTCAAGGTTGGTAGTTACACCAAGGCTGTCATCGAGACTGAATATTTTGTGTATAGGGGTGGCACCAAACTAGAGTTTTACCAAATTCAGTTATAATGTCCTTTGTATGTATTTCGTTGTATAGCTGATAAAACTGTCCGACGTTTTGTCCAGCGAGAGCAAGAAACATATTTTGCCATGACACACATTAATATGTGTTTTAAGTTGAAAATATAAATAGTCACCTTTCTTGAAATGACATCTTTCTTGTTTGCCAATATTTTCAAAATAACTGAAAAAAAAGAAACATCTATTCAAATCCATCCTCATATTATTACAAAACTTTTATATAAGTACTTTGATGCAATATGCATATATATATAGGTATATTTCCACACAAAATGATCAAGTCAGTTAAGTAACAGATATAGCCTTTATAGGTCAAAGCAAAAATTTTCAAAATATAGAAACTTTAAAAACTTTCATTTCAGTTTATTTGGTCGAAAAGTTGAGTGATGCTCCCAAAACCATTAAGCATATTATAGTATAGGACGGATGGGACAAATTTACCTTTGATTAAAATTTGTGAACTGATTGCAGAGATGTGTACCACTTTGGCCTGTTTCTTGTTAGTACTAACTTCTAGCTGCTATACACATATACTTCTGCATTTCAGAATCTAAAATTAAGCCAATGACCAACAGACTAAATTGGTTGTTAAAGATGACTCGTTGACAGGTATTCACGGTTGACTTGATGAACTCTGCTGTATGGTCAGATATTATATAATTTGAGTACAGAATCTGCTATAGTCATTAAAATGTAACTAGCAAGATACCTCAGCCAGGCTGTGTTCATAATCAATTTTAGTAGATTTCTTTGACTTTTTTCTTTAAAGAATAATGTATTACGATTCTTTTGCTTTAAGCTCTACATTTATTTTGAATGGTGGAGTGAAATACATATTTCTTAAAATGAAAATATGTATCACGATTTCATTCATAAACAAACTCTATTTTTTATTCCTAGTAAACTTATTATAGTGTGTGATAAGGAGAATTCTGCTGTAATCTGTTTAATCTATGCAAAGTACATATTAGTGCACCACTTAATTCTATAGTAAGCTAAAATATTAATAAAATATCTCCAAATTGTTTGGATTTTAATTTTATTTAAACTATAAAACAAATTTCAGTACGCAGTAGAATAAATCATCTACCTATGGAGTACCTATTTATATTGCGCATAAAGGCTTTAGCAGCTTTGCAAGTATGGCTTCATAATATTATTAATATATGATATACTTTTAGAAAATTAATTTAATCTTAAGTTATATTCTTCTGATTTGTTATTACTGTATTGGTTTTAGAAGTGCAAAAGTGTTATTTTTTTAAATGCTGTTTATTTTGAGTTTGATATGTTGGGGATAAATTTGTTCACCTATAATTTGCATTGTCGCATCACCATGAATATAACCAGTTACGATATCAAAAATTTAACACATTTTTTGTTTTTAATTTATTGATAATGGCCGACATCGTGATCAGCCTGTATACATCGAGTGTCGATCAAACATGCCTTGTACCAATTTTCAGCAAGATTGGATATTTTGTTGAGGTATTATATCAGTATGTGCTTCCGATCCATTGTTTAATCAAGAATTTTGTGCCATTGACCTCTGTACGTGATCCCTGTGTTACAAAGTTATGTTCATGTTCAATATTATAAATTAAAACAAAACAAAGAAAAAAGACTTCATTTCTCAATTTTATTAAATTCTAATCTCTTACTTCTCATTCTCAATTCCTACAGGTTACATACAAAGACGGTCTCATCATTAATACATCTAGGTTGCTACAAATAATTTCCAAACAACCTTTGCGGTAATCTTTTAGGTTACCTGCCCCGAAATTGTTTGACTTAAAGATACATTATGGAAGATTAAATAAAGAGCTGACAATTGTAGATATAATAGATAAAAAATGGATTATAATGTAAATGAGAAATGTCGAAAATTTCAGTGAAATTGCTTCAATCTGATTCATATACACAGTAGCCTCGCTGTTACAATAATAAAAAGAAGACTCGATTATGGATCCATTTTTGCAGTTAATCAGGGGCGTTGGACAGAAACTCGGATTCAAATCTAATGAAAATCGGACCCATAAGATGCCATCGAGAGCGTTGATTATGGTCTTTTTAATAAATGTCTAATTAATAGTTTATATAACATTTCAGACCTAAAGAAAGACCTGCAATAGTCAGATTTAGCTCTTGCATAATGTTTATGTTTAAATTTTAATGAAGGAGAAATGAGAAATTGAAAATATTTTTAAGTAAAGTAGATCAATAAAGAAATTGCAAAAAGACCTTACCTGTAAAAATTCTTATGCTCTTAACAAATCTATGTAGTTGTAAAATTACAGCATAAGCGACATGGTTTAATGTAAATCGCACCTGTATGTGCGACTGTTTACTTGTCATGTAAATGCAACTATTGAGGGCGCAATAAGTTTAACGTATCCCAAATAAACACTTTAATGATATTCTGATTTTAATTTTCTGAATACTTATTAATATCTACTAAATGCAATGGGTATTATTCCACATTGAAGCCGATACAGGTGTGGCTAATCCCATATGGGTAAAATATTGGACCCAGATGTATTATTTTATATGTGGTAGATGCCATATAGATAAGATATTGGCCCAATCCCACATATTGATACCATATTGAACCCATATACATAATATACATGAATGAGGTTAAATCATATCCATACCACACAAGCTTCTGTGCATAATCCTTTCTGTGCAGATTGGTTCACAAAACTAAAAGTATGGATTCAATAATGAACTTATACATACAAATAAGTAATCCCATATGGATACCATATTGGCCCCAGATATATAAAAGTTATATGTAATCCCATACAGATACCATATTATCCCCAGATACACACACGGGTATATATTAATATATACACAACTAAAAGTATGGATTCAATAATAGACTCATACATAGACTAATAAGTAATCCCATATAGATACCATGTTGGCCCCAGATATATAAAAGTTATATGTAATCCCATACAGATACCATATTATCCCCAGATACACACACGGGTAATCCCATATGGACACCATATTGGCCCCAAGTGTACAAAAACAGAGTTGCTAATGTGGGAAATCCCATATAGATCCCATATTGGCCCCAGATACACACACTATACGGTCAGATTATCAATGTAAAAAGGAAGTAACCATTATATCATTTGGCTTGTCTCTGTGATATTAATATATATATGAAAATAAAGTGTATTTGAGTACATTTGTATGTGGTAAGATAATATGGGTCCTATATGGGGACCTTGTGGTATCACCTGGGCCCACAGCCCATTTTTTCCCCATATGGTCCCCATGTGGCAATGTTTATGGGGATACTTCATTGCAAAAACATCGGTGAACAACAAACTAACCATCTATTTTAAGGCTTTATTTTAATACATTTTAAAAATATAACTTAAAAATATGAAATTGTAGCTTAATGTTTTCTTATTTATTCATATATTATGTATCTTTGTCATCAGCTGAGGGGTTGGATGACCGAATGGTTATAGCGCGTGTGAGTTGTATAAGGTCTGTCATTGAGTCAACTAGCGTGGTTTCAATTCCCAGGTTGCACATGACAAGGAGTAGGGCCGTGGGTCCAAACTTGTGGGTTTTCTCCGGCTTCTCTGGTTTCCGCCCACTGCTTTTTATAAAGGCCCCTACGCCCAAGCGAATCATTGAAATAAAATTGAACCATATTTTAGTCCCGATATGAACTGGTTTGCATTGAGTGAAGTTAAACCCCATCTCTCTCTCTCTCTCTCTCTCTCCCTCTTGTCATCAGCTTCCACCATTCATCCTTGTATATACATGTATATATACATGTATATTCTGTATTTCTAGTCATCCCTATGTGTAAATAATATTCACATTTAGAACACTTTTAATATATTTACTATTGTTATATAAATAAATTTGTTCCTGGTGTTATACATGCTTCATATTATTAAAAGGGCAAAAAGTAAGAAAGACCCCAGGCCTAGTTTACCGTTTCCAGATAAACTGATTATTTATTATTATTATGAAACTGGATGTACACCTCTGACATTAATACCAATTTAGAATGTCCCACCGGTCTTCCATAGTTTAGGAGTGTATGACGTCATTTTTTGTCGCTTAATTTTCCAAAACAACAGTTCACATTTTAATTTTTTTTTTTACCCTAAATCTTTCTACCATTAAACTAAGAAGCTAAACAAATCTATTGTATTTCAAATGAATTTAAAACAATTATTTTACAAAAAAATTAGATGAAATCATATTTTATCATTCAAACTGAAAAAACATTATTGTATTTTACACAAGCGACTTATTTACTTGAAGACGCCATTACAATTTGTTTAAAGTTTTGTTGTTTTGGTCAGATTTTAACGACATTGTGCAAGAGTAACACTGGTCTGACACAGACCGCTCTTATGTTTTGATCAATTTAATTGGTATGGGAATCTTAAGTCGATAATTATTATGTTGTAACTGGGCCATTTTTTTAATAATAGACTAGACAAAGAAATAATAACACTATCCTCGTCCTCGAGGCTCGACAAAAACAATCGATGGTTTTTTTTGTTTTGTTTTTTTTACCGAATCAGAGAAGCAATAGATTCACTGTGAAGGTCGTTGAATATTTCTTCATATTTTTAACTATTGCTGAAGTAATGACATTGCATAAGAGTTAAACTGACGACTCTAAATGTAATAATTGTTTGATCGATTTAATTAAGCCTGGGAGTGGGTTCAGTTATATTATTCAGTTTGAATAGTTTGATTAATTCGCTATTCTAACTCTTGAGTAATCTGATTCTGAGTGAGACGACATACTGTAGACTGTTTTGTTTCATAACTGTACTATTTAAATATTTTTTTTGCAAAAAGGTGAGGTCATCACAAATTTTCAGGCGTAGTTTGCCCATGTCAGTGGTGCAGGACGGGGATGGGTTGGCAAAGGAAAACGTACTGTCATTCAGATGGGAAGAAAAACCAAGTTTCTATGTACACATTGACGTGCACGTAAAAAAACCCTTGACCGCTGTTAGGGCAAATATCTTTCACAGCACACTGCTAGGGTATGCCCGTCTTCATTGATTCAGTCGGTGCAGAAAAGTAGAACGTTAAATCCCATTTCCTTTCACCAGCCATGATGGCATTTTCAGTGTAACATTATTGTACACATAACAAGTTGGTTGGGGATTGATCAACAGGTCACTTCTGTGGATGTGTATGATGTCTCATAATTACCAGAAAATACTGTAATTCTTGACTTTTGTTACAAAATTATGTTGTAATCAACTGTCAGAAGTCTGCTTGTATCCAACAGAAGGCATGTCGTTATCAATTCCCTCAGCCACCTAAAACTAAGATTAATTTGTGAAAATAGGGAGCCACGGTGGCTCAGTGAGTTAGATGGCTCGCTAACCTGGGAGGAGGTCCCAAGTTCTATCCCTGCGTAGGCCGAGAAAGTTCATTGTGATTTTCCGATGTGGTTCCTCCTTGTCAGTGGTGCAGGACCCAGGGCCTGGCAAGGGACAACTTACAGTCGTTCAGATATAGGCTATCAAATTTAACTGAAGATATCCCATTCAATGCTTTTTTTATATACTTTATGTTTACCCGTAATATTCATTTATTAACTGGTCAAAGCAATTATTTTGCAATCTAATTTAAACAGAAGAACATGGTATATTGTCACAGCTGGTATAGGACATAGGTGCCAGTGAAATTCATGGTCCCCTATACATGTGTGTCGTTTTCAATTAAAATTTATAGAGATTTAAGACTAAAACTAAACACCTATATTCATGTGTATTTTTCACGATATGTGTAAAATTACAGAACAGAACATAGAAATAGTTTATTGATACAGTACATTATTACATTAAAGTTTAAAAATACATTATGTAAGAGACCGCTGATTAAAAGACTGTAGTCCGAGGCTTGGATTATTATTGTGGCAATGGTTTTTGTCAATCTGATTAAAACACAGATCCTATTTCGCTTTATCGTTTTTATAGTTCAAAATTTTGTTTTTACTTGTCTTTACTACACTTGGATCTGGAAGCGTTGTTATTTAACTCGTGTTCTGCTTGAAAGGAGGGGTCTGCCAATCAAATGGTCTGTCGAATCGAGCATTTGACCTTTTTTGCGCGGAACTGTGGGTAGACATTAGCGGCAATAGAAATCAAAACAAAGCAAAAGTAGATAAAAATACATGGCGGTCGCTAATTGGTTAATCGACTGACTGACGTAATCGGGTCAAATGTTGCTTGCTTGGTACCTGACGTCATAGAATGTGAACTCCCACTATGACTTGTTAGATCTACATGTAGTGTAGGCCATCGAAAGTATAAAAAACAAAACGAAATATAGATCTGTATTTTAATTAGATTGGGTTTTTGTCTACTTGACAATCAAGATTATTTACATTGTAGGCCTTTTCTTGTCAAACCTTTGCTCAGCATAAAGTAATTTTTAAACAAGAATCAGCAATAACGATGATCAGCTCTTTCATCTAAGTCTTACATAATTCGTCTTAAACATACATTATGCAAGAGCTAAATCTGCCTACTGCCCAATTAGGCTTCAGATGTTATAGAAATTATTAATTAGACATTTATTTACACGGCAAGCTCAAAATCAACTCTGTAGACCCATGGATGACTTGGATACAGTTTGGATTTAAACAGTCGTCCATTTAAAATTAAATAAATAAATTCGGACCAAGTTAACACTTACCGTTAGTTGCTGATGTCACTACCGGAAACTGGTGATGAAAGGCCTGCCATGCGAGTCTACCCTAGCCATTGAGCGTGTTACTTGATAATCGAGAATATGTGGGTGGAGTTATCGTCTGTCAATCAAACGATCGCCAATACTCATAGACGGTGCAGACACAATTGATGCCTATTTCTAGTCCAAACTTTCAACAGTGACAATTCCATTCAGAACAAAATAATTTGACTGAAATTTTCAACATTTTCTTTTGAATTATTATAGCAAGAATGGCCAACTCTTTATAAAACTAATGTATCTTTAAGTGATCAAAATAAATGAGTTTCTGAAGTACTAAAAGACTTTTTTGAGTGAATCTGTTTGTTAGTTTATGATCATTTTACTAGTGTTTATCTGTTTCAGATATATTAAAATGTCAACGGAATGGGTCGGTAGTGTTGTTTCTCTGGACTGTGGAGAATCTTTAGGAACGTATCAAGGACAGGTGACGTGTATTAACAATGCATCGCAAACATTAACACTCAGGAATGCTTTTAGAAATGGATTGAAATGTGAAGTCCCTGATATAACTTTAAGGTGAGATGACCTTTTCTTTTGGTCCACAGATGCCAGACGGACGAGGGGTGGGACTGGCAATGAAAATCGTCTAGTTGTTCAATGGTTTGAAAAACTAGAGTTCCTGTTTGAAAATTTCCCTCAATAATTCTTGTCTGTTGGTCCATAGAGGAAGCCCCACCATAAATAAATATCTCCAAATATCTTTACAATTACACCACAATATTTATATATAAGCCTTAAATCAGTTTCGCACATTTATAGTCACTAAATAAACGGTCATGTTGTAATTAATAAGCTATGGCCATTTAAACATCCATAAATAATAGAGAGAGAGAGATGGGGTTTAACGTCCACTCGACATAAACTAGGTCATTTCGGAACTAACACATGGTTCAATTTTATTTCAATCATTCGCTTGCGCTTAGGGGTCTTTAGCAGTGGGGGGAAACCAGAGGACCGGAGAAAACCCATGAGGTTGGACAGGCGACTCTACTCCTTGTCACGTACAACCGGGGAATCGAAACCCCGCCAGTTGACTCAATGACAGACTGTATGATACATAGCGCGCGCGTGCTAACCATTCAGCCTTCCACCCCCCCACCCCCCCCCCCATAAATAATAGACTCAAAAATGGTTACGAGTGTCGGCCATAACATCCAGTCACTTTGGAGTAAAAAATAGGTTACACATGTCCTTGTTTTAAAATTAGCCCCACTTAACCAGTCTACCAACCATTCTATGTCTGATTGACAGACCGGGATAATCAAGACTACCTTTTTACAAAACATAACAGAAAGCTGGAACAAGAAATTGAATTTAGAAACGCACGTTAGGCAACTCAGCGATTGTTTTAAGAAACTTGTAAAAGTAAAATGAAACTCCCTAACCTGAGTGTTTCAAAGCTATTATTTTTACTAAACCAAAAGATGCCGCTCCTAACGGTATAGATAATGATAAAGCAATTTAAAAAATAAAACAAACGTAATTTCTAAAGCTGCTGTAATAACCAAAAAGCTAAATATTACTGCTATTCAGAATCGTCAACATTAGTTTTTTTTACGGCTGTAATAGTTGATAGATGTGTAGAGAATTGCATGTGTCAAATTGAACTGTTCTGTAGGGAAAATTTTCACTGCACGGGACACCCTACCATAGATGGCAGGAGGGGGGGGGGGCAGGGGGTATGTGTCAGACTCATGAATATTAATTAGATTTGTATAGCGTACGTGCAGTGAGAGGACGCCTCGAGGACGCCTCGGTCCTTGTGTATCTGTAGATCATGACTTTTATATATGTTTCCATGAAAGGCAGACGTACGTCTGATAGCTAATAAAGAACATAAAATTATAGTTAGCCTCCACTTAACAGTATGATCTGTCAAAGAAAATCGCTTAGTCAATTGATGTACTGATACATATACCAACGTACTATTGACCAGAAACTGGGTATGACATCACCTCATCGATTTAGAATAACCCTCAAAGCAGACGGTATGCCCATCTTCATTAGCCCAGTCAGAGCAGAACGGTAGGACGTTAAACCCCATTTCATTTCAGTGATTATTATTGTTGTCATGATAGTGAAATTATGTTATAATGTACTTTCAGTGCTAAAGATATTCAAGATTTGAAAATCTTGAGCTCTCCAGAGAATGCGAGAGACTTGTTCTCTAGAAAAGCAACCCCTTCCAAATTATCAAAAGAAGTCGAAGAATCAATAAATCCCAAGTGCCCTTCACCAGTCAAGGTCATTCATACCTCTGGTACAGCTACCAATGGATTTCACGGCCCAGGCCATCCAATGACTGCTGGGACTAATGGTTATAATAACAGACTTACACCAACTCAGGATTATCATGGTTACCTAAACGGACACAATGGGTATAGTTCACGGAATAACGGACATCAGCGTCTGACACCTACACGGGATCCCGACGTTAGACGACCCAATGGTAAACTTTCTACTTTTCTTCATTTTGTAATAATTATGTTTTAATCAACCTGTCTAGATGTTGTCAAGTACAGATTATCACACAACATATAAATACAGGCCTGGATAGAGTCAACTGTCACAGACACAAATTATCACACAACATATAAATACAGGCCTGGCCCCGAGTTCACAAAGCATTCTCAGACTTAAGTTGAGAATTTGCTCAACTTTAAATCACTGTTTATGACAAATATCTTTGATGCAGAAACTCAAAACTTTGCGCATAGTTTCTTATTGATGTATCTGATACATTCAAACAATAAAATTATTATAAAGGGCTATATTTTAGTTAAAATAAGGTGAACAAGTTTGAGTAAATTCTCAACTTAAGTCTGAGAATGCTTTGTGAACTCGGGGCCTGGAAAGACTTAAATGTCACAGACACAAATTATCACACAACATATAAAAACAGGCTTGGATAGAGTTAACTGCAATCTGGTTAAAACACAGATCCTATTTCGTTTCGTTTTTATAGTTCAAAATTTCGTTTTACTTGTCTTTACTACACTTGGATCTGGAAGAGTTGTTATTTAACTCGTGTTCTGAATGGTGTCAGGGATAAGCCAATGAAACGGTCTGTTACGGCGCGCTTTAGGCGTGTTTTGCACGGAACTGTGGGTAATCTACTAGTAACATCAATGCTGATTGGTTAATCAAATGTCTGACATCATAGGGTCATAAGTCCGTCTTTTGACCCCTGACGTGACCTATCGCTATAACTTGTCAGATCTTCATGTAGTGTAGGCCATCGAAAGTATAAAAAAACGAAACGAAATATAGATCTGTAATATAATCAGATTGAGTCAACTGTCACAGACACAAATTGTCACACATTTTTCTTCAATATATATATATAGGTTGTGTGCTGATTTGTACAGTAAGCGTCCACTACACAGTACAGTTCCGGGCCTGTAGTGATACAGACTTCACTTAAAAATGAAAACTAACAATAAGGAGGAATATATCCCAATAACATTGTGTAATACTAGTACGAGTCATGATCTGCTATATATCACATGAAATATGAATTTAAGCATATTGAAGGAAAATACCTTTACAAGTGAACTGTAGTAAAAAAAATATGTCCTATGTAGTAGTTCAAAAATAGGGATCAAAACATTAGCGTACGGAAGAATTCAAGTGCATTAATTACAAAGTTAGGGCATACATCCACATTTATATAAAACAGCAAAACAAAAACCTGAATACAAAGAAGCGATCGTCTGCTGAATGACATTAGTTTGCCACTTGATATCATAAGTTAGAATGTCATACTAAAATTTGATATTTGGAACAATTTTAAAATGCGGTATATAAACTTGATTTTTGGAACAATTTTAGAATGTCATATACATAAGCTTGATATTGGAAAATTCTAGAATGTCGTACATAAACTTGATATTTCGGACAATTCTAGAATGTCGTACATATAAGCTTGATATTTGGAACAATTCTAGAATGTCTTACATATTAGCTTGATATTTGGAACAATGCTAAAATGTCATACATTAGCTTGATATTTCAAACAGTTCTAGAATATCATACATTAGCTTGATATTTCGAACAGTTCTAGAATGTTATACATTAGCTTGATATTTCGAACAATTCTAAAATGTCTTACAGATGCTTGATATTTGGAACAATTCTAAAATGTCTTACAGATGCTTGATATTTGGAACAATTCTAAAATGTCTTACAGATGCTTGATATTTGAAAATTCTAGAATGCATTACATAAACGAGATATTTGGAACAATTCTTGAATGTCGTACATTAGCTTTTCATTTTTGTTTTCTAGGTACTGAAAATAAACCAGTGAAAAAACCCACGACCCCAAGAAAAATTGAGGGTCGTAATAACAATGCGCGCCGTGGAAGTCAGAGACAGGACTGCTTTAGTGCTCCCGTTGATTCCTTCATAAAAGACTTTGATTTTGAGAAAAATTTGGCCTTGTTCGATAAACAGGCTGTTTTTGCAGAGATCGAGAATGGTTTCCCCGAGGGTTCCATTATTGATAAAAAACCTACGAAATATAGATGTGATGAAAATGTTTTGACGTCCGGACCTGTCGTCTTACAACAAATAAAAACGCCGTCGACAAGCGGGAAAAGTTATGTTACAGGTGAGTGGGATAAGATATTCAGGTTGTGGTAGTTGCGTGGTGTGACTCAGGCCTCTGACCAAAAAAGTGCCGGTTGGAATCTTGACGGAGTCGAGTAGACCAGGCCCAAAGTTCACAAAGCATTCTCAGACTTAAGTTAAGAATTTACTCAACTTTTAATCACTGTTTATGAGAAATATATTTAATCCACAAACTCAAAAATTTGCACATAGTTTCTTTTTGATGTATTTGATACATTAAAACAATAAAATGGTGAATAAAGGGCTACATATTTTAGTTAAAATAAGGCGAACAGTTTTGAGTAAATTCTTAACTTAAGTCTGAGAATGCTGAGTGAACTTGGGGCCTGGACTAATGAAGACCTGTGCCAGCACTAACCTTTAGGATTTTTCAAACCAGGTTCTCATTCAACAATAAGTAGGCAGAAATGGTGCTGTCCAGGCAGAATCCACCAAACCCTTGCATTGGGCATGTAACCATAGAAATGAACATTTGTCTAATGTTAGTCTCAGTATTGTGTTGACCAGTCTTAAATCCCTGTTTCATTCTGTTTCTAGGCAACCGATTGGTCTTTCTTAACGCATGTACTTTAGATGATAAGGTCTTTTATTGAGTCCCGGGGGGGGGGGGGGTGTTGGATGGCCGAATGGTTAGCGTATGCGTGCTGTATCATAAAGTCTGTCATTGAGTCAACGGGCGTGGTTTCGATCCCCCGGTTGTACTTGTCCAACCTCGTGGGTTTTCTCCGGGTTCTCCAGTTTCCTCCCACTGCTAAAGACCCCTACGCGTAGGCAAATAATGGAAATAAAGTTGAACCATATGTTAGTCCCGAAATGACCCTAGTTTTTGTGGAGTGGACGTTAAGCCCCATTTCTCTCTCTCTCTGTCATTGAGTCAAGTTGTGTGGTTTCAATCTCAAGCTTGTATATGACAAGGAGTAGGGTTGTATGCCGTGCTAAGCTCATGAGTTTTCCTCCTTATTCCTGAAGCAACGACTGCGGGGGGATCACGTGGCTAAGTGGGTAAGGCGCTGGCTCGCTAGTCTGGAGGTAGGGTGTTCGATCCCTGCATTGGCCGAGAAAGTTCATCTCGATTTTCCGGCGTGGTTTCCCCTTGTCAGTGATGCAGAAAGGAGGGCCTGACAAGGACAGCTGCCTAGTCGTTCGGATGGGACGAAAAACCGAGGTCCCGTGTACACATTGGCGTGCACGTAAAAGATCCCTTGGCAGTTGGAATTCGATATAAGAGTAGGCCGTAGCGCCGCTGCCTGGTCAAAATTTCCTAGTTTGAGTGAACCCCCCCCAGCTTGCTCTCTCTCTCTCTCTCTTGATTATAATTACATGTTACATTGTATTTATAGATTCAGGTTTGGTTGTCCCTAGTATTAGTGCTGATTTACGTGCTCGATTACTCAACTCGGCTGTTAGTTACGGTATTACACTGGACCGTCAAGTTGAAATGGTTGGTCGTTCAGCTAGTGAGATGGTTTTACAGCTTCTAGGAGGATATCATAGGTATGAATTATTGAAACAGCTGGTTGTCATTTGGGGGGTTGGATGGCCGAATGGTTAGCACATGCACGCTGTATCATAAGGTCTGCCATTGAGTCAACTGGCATGGTTTAGATTCCCCCGGTTGTATGTGACAAGGAGTAGGGTCGCCTGTCCAAGCTCGTGGGTTTTCTCCGGGTACTCCGGTTTTCTCCCACTGTTAAAGCCCCCATAGCACAGGCGAATTATTAAAATAAAATTAAACCATGTGTTAGTCCCAAAATGACCTAGTTTGTGTCGAGTGGACGTTAAACCTCATTTATCTCTCTCTGGTCGTTATTTTCATTTTTTTGGACAATACTGTATTGATCTACTGTGTGCTAAAATGAACTTAAATTGATTATTTAACATTTATTCAAGTAAACAAAATGAAAATGTTATTTGTACGTACTCTCCGTACTTGGATTTAATCAAATTTCTGCTCACTGATAATTCCTTACTTAATAAAAACATGGTAATGCACAGTCTTTTATATTTTTATTTGTTTACTCGTATCTAGTGACAGTCAATTATATTTTTGAATTGTAAGATATCCCCTCTCAGTCTTCGAAGGAATTATCAGTGAGCAGAAATTCAAGCGTGTATCTGGAAGGATAACTCTTGTTTTCCATTTTTTGCGTCACTTCCACTGCTTCAGATGTTTGTTACTCATCTATCGTAGCAATGATCTCTGTGTTAAAATTATATTTGGAACATTTTTAATCAGTTTTATCACATATGTGATAATGACTGACACCAATATTGTCCTTTAAACAGGACAATGTGATAATGACTGACACCAATATTATCCTTTAAACAGGACAATGTGATAATGACTTACACCAATATTATCCTTTAAACAGGACAATGTGATACGAACTGATTCTATTACTACAGGCCAGGTGACACATGTTGTATACACAAGGAAACCACTGTTACTTAAGCGGTGGACACATTAGTCGAATCATTTAGACGAATCGTTCGGTCAAATCTATCGGTGCCAAATTTTATTTGGCCGAATGGGTCGACACACTAGGGTGATCTTCGGATGTAGACTATGGTTGCAACTAAAGTCTGAACTATCCCGACCGTGCTCTATCTTATGGTATGGCTGGTCACGACCACAGGTTGTACTACAGTATGAAAATCATTGCAACCGAAGGTCGCCCTGGCAAATCCTTCACCCGATTCACCAGTCGATTGCATCACCTTTCGCGTCACATGATTAAACATGGCGTTGACCATGTCTTCAAACAATCACATGATTGGATGAGGAGTGGTGATTGGCTAATGAATTCTACAATCAGGTGAATGCTTGGCGAAGCGGACACACTAGGCGAATATAATTTGTCCGAATATATAAAACATGTTGGGTTCCAGCGAACCATTCGGCCAAATAGAAATTCAATCGAATTACAGTGGACACACTAGGCGAACTTTAGTCACTCATATTAAAGATACATTATGCAAGAGCTAAATCTGCCTATTGCAGGTATTTCTTTAGGCCTGAAATGTTGTCTAAATTATTAATTAGACATAAATTAACATATCCAGACCATAATCAACTCTCGATGGCATCGATGGCATCGCTAGTCTGCGATATTTACTGGATTATAACCCGGTATGCTGCTTCTGATTAAATAAAAAAATGGATAATTGAGACTAAGTTTTTTTATCGTACCCACTTTAGTAATGATGATCGGGGCTAGGCCCAAAATTCAATCGCTAAAATCTTGGTTCAGGGTGGATCAATTTGACTGAAATTTTCAGCAAATTCCCTTTACATTATCTAGTTTATAACTATTACAATGAGAACTGCCAGCTCTTTATCTAATCTCCCATAATGTATCTTTAAACTATACATTAAAAAATGTGTTTATTTTCTGTAGATTGAGTCCACAGAACGGTCATCAGCTACCTATTGTTGTTATTCTATGTGGACCTCATATTCAAGGAGCGGAGGGTATTAATTGTGCAAGGCAACTAGCCAATCATAATGTTAAAACTATTCTTTATGTGCCAAATAATGTTAAACTGCCTGCTGAAGTAGAGAGGGAGTTGATATTGTACGACCTCTGTAATGGAAAGAAAACAAGCTCTGCAAAAGGTACAAAAATATCTTTTTTATGTGTCTAGAGGGAAATACATTCTTATTGTTGTCACCCCGTCTGAGTAGATAGAGACTACAATGTTTTTCGTGGCTCAGCGAGTAATGTGCTAGCTGATTGATCAGAAGGTCCCTGGTTCGTTCCTGGTGCTGACCGAGAAAATTTCCCTGGTTACACTGTAACCTGGGTATTGATTAATCTTGTGCATCTAGCACTAATTTTTTTCACATTCGTTGAATACCAAATCCTTGTTTACAAATAATCTAATTTGTACTTGTGTTCAGTTTAAAGCGGACTGATTAATTTTGATAACAGGTGTCCAATTCGAGAAATTAAACGCTTGTAAATTGGACACTCATTATCAAAATTGAATATTTAGCTTTAAGCTGGACACAAGTACAAATTAGATGAATTTTGGTGATTTTAAACGATTTTAACAAATTGTTAAACAAGGATTTAATATTAAACGAATGTGAAAGAAATTAGTGCTAGATACACAAGATTAAATGATACCAGGGTTACAGTGTTACATCAGCGTGGTTTCTCCTTGTCTGTTATATGGGACAAAGGTCGATTGGACATAAAAAACCCAATGGTATAGATGTGTGTGTGATCTGTTTTTCGTACAATCCAAACAACTGGGCCAATTTTTCTTGTTAGCCCAAACGAATGGACAATCTGATTAAAAGACAGATCCTATTTCGTTTCGTTTTTTTATAGTTCAAAATTTCGCTTTACTTATCTTTACTACACTGGAATCTGGAAGGGTTGTTAAATTATCCGCGTTCTGGATGATGTGAGGGATCATCCAATGAAACGATCTGTTCCAGCGAGTTTTTGTTGTGAGGTGCACTGAACTGTGGGTAACCCACTAGAAACATCAACGCTGATTGGTTAATCAGATGTCTGATGTCATATGGTCAAAAGCCACGCGTCTGACCCAACGCAACCTTCCACTACAACCGGTCAGATCTTATGTAATAAAAAAAAAGAAATGAAATATAGATCTGTATTTTAATCAGATTGAGACATGGATTGAACCCAGAATCATACAGACAAGCCGAAGTGGCTTGTGTCGGTGCCATTTGTAAAATGCATGAGCTAATAATTGCAATAGCTACTCACCATTTGACCAAACTTTTTTTTATAAGAAATTATTCTTGTCATGTAGGGCTGAGCAATAGGGCCTTGGCCTATGGACTAGACTATACAATGAAATGAAATGGGGTTTAACATTCTACTGTTCTGCTCCGAACTGGGCTAATAAAGACAGGCATACGCCATACAGTGTGCTATGATGGAAATTTTGCCTAGTCAGAGTAGGACATTAAACCCCATTTCATTTCATTTGTTTCGCGTGTTATTGTTATTTGAAAAACATATTTACAAAGTTATAAAAAAAAATGTTAGAAATAAAACATCTTTAAAACTTTGTTTATTACAGATTTACCTGCAGTGCCTGTTGATATGATTGTTAACGCTCTGGATAACGATGAAAATTTACATTTACGACATCAGTCATGGTATAAACCGCTCGTAGATTGGGCTGGTAATAAACGAGCGAATTGTCTAGCTATTGATCCGTCTGTTGGAGGGTCAGCCATTGATGCTAAATGGAGTCTTGCTATCTGCTTGCCACTGAGTTTACAATCACCCACGAGTCAAGTTTATTTATGTGATCTGGGAATTCCTAAAAAGGTTTTTACGGATGTGGGTATTAGATATATGTCACCATTTGGTCACAAATTTGTCATTCCCCTTCACGAGAGAACCTAGTTATCTCTCATTTATATCGTGCTCAAGTAAATGGCAAAGAAGTGCAGCAGCTATGTGCAATAGGGCCAAAGTTTTTAGTCATTTTTCCCATTTCACCGTTCGTTGCTCGTATCAATGTTTTCCACAATTTACAAACTGATCTTGTTTTCATTACAATGAATAGAAACTCCATTGATCAACAGATTTAACTTTCATTTCCTGGTTCCATGAGAATCATGGAAAATTTGCGATTCTTTGATCTCCTTTTCTCGGATGTCATAGTTATTTGTCGGAGTCGGAGAAGAAATCAGCTTTGCTGGCTGTTATAAGATAATGATCTTCCTGAAAGATGATCATAAAAATAAAGAACGATAGAATAAGTGTACAGAGAAAATAAAGGAATTAAGATGCCAAAAATATAAAGGAATATATTTAAATAATCGTCCATGTAAATAATGAGTCAATGTGTATGTTTTAAGCCTCTGGGGTAAATGGAGGTTATATGTGCTACATTATTTATAATCTGTATATGTTGATATGATGTGTAAATAACCATAGATTTATCATCTATTTATGATATAGGAATTTAAAAAAAACAACCTATTTTGTGCTAATAATCAAGGGATATTTTGAATTCATTGGTAATTTGACAATCTGATATTTGAAGGAATATTTTGAATTCATTAGTAATTTGAAGGAATATGTTTTGAATTCATTAGTAATTTGATATTTGAAGGAATATTTTGAATTCATTAGTAATATGACAATCTGATATTTGAAGGAATATTTTGATTTCATTAGTAATATGACAATCTGATATTTGAATTTTGAATTCATTAGTAATATGACAATCTGATATTTGAATTTTGAATTCATTAGTAATATGACAATCTGATATTTGAAGAAATATTTTGAATTCATTAGTAATATGACAATCTGATATTTGAAGGAATATTTTAAATTCATTAGTAATATGACAATCTGATTTGAAGGAATATTTTGATTTCATTAGTAATATGACAATCTGATATTTGAATTTTGAATTCATTAGTAATATGACAATCTGATATTTGAAGGAATATTTTGAATTCATTAGAAATATCACAATCTGATAAAAAAAAAAAAAATTGTTTTTTTAAAAAAAGTTGTGAACACATTTTGAAAGGAAGTTGTCTAATGTTATCTAATATGAAATGAAATCGTCTATTGAATATTTTTTAAGATATAGCTATAATTTTATATATAATACTTGAGCTGTATGGTAACGATTCGTTTGTAAGTGAAAATGTTTACCCAGTGTAAGGGTATCATAACCAAAAAATAACATATCAAACGTTTATTTTAATTACTCCGTTTACTATAACGAAGTTATGGATCTCGAAATATGATCCCAATTAATTCACCAAAGAAAGCAAAAATGTTAAAAATAATAAGAAATGTTTTGAAACACTTTTTTTCTAAAATGTGATAAATGCGAAATATGATTTTAAAACCATTTTTCAGTTTGTTTTGGAAATATAAGATACCGTATGTGAAATGGGTGTAAGGAAATTAAGGATACGGTAGGGATCGGCAACACTTCTTTTGAACGAGTCAAAGATGATGGAACACCTGACTAGATCTGGTTTAATTGGATCATAAAAGATGCAGGTGGAGACTAAAGACATGCCGATAATGTTGTCCCCCTCTCCAGGGAATATGATATGGTATTTAACATAAGCAATGTTCAAATTCTGTTTATCACATTTTGGAAAAGAGATTTTTTAAGAGAAATTATTGAGGAATTTGGTGAACGTTTTTAAATCGTGTATTAATGCACTTGCTGTCGGACATCTCGTATTTGTGATGTTTATTTGGAGTTGAAATCTGCTCTGATTTAATTGAAGTATTTTGTTGATATTGTTGTCAAGTTTTAAGTGCATTTAGAGTTGATATGTTAAACTAATATGTATACGAATCATTCACATTAATACCAAAGAATCTCTTTAAATGTTTTTGTTCTGAAGAATAGCTATATCTGTCACTTTGAAATTGTATGGTTTGATAATCATTTATGTTCAATTTCTTTCATTTTGTGTTTTATTTTGAAGAGGAACTATATTGTAGTGATTTAATGTCAAATCTAGTATATTGCTTGTTTTAAATATATTGTTATTCTTTCATGGATGGCTTCTTTCATTAAGGGTTTTGTCCACTTGCAATGGAGAACCTTAAGTTGAATATTATTTTTGGTCAAATCTAGTATATTTTGGATCGAATCGGGTATATTGCTGTATAATTTTTAATAGGTCAAGGATGGTTTCTTTCTTTCATTATGTGTTTTGTCCTTGTGTGATAGAAAACCAAGATATAATGTTATCTTCTATCTAGTATAATTATTATGATTGTCATTCAGGAACAGTTTCTTCCTTTCATTTTGTCTGCGTGTGATGGAAAACCAGGTTCAAATAATACTACTGAAAAGATAATAAAATGCTGCTTACGTCTTAGAACCTTACTTACGTTCAGTATTGCTAGTTGAGATGATTTTATTCGTATATCGTAAAGTTTTACCCTTTCCATACAAAGGAGTAATTTTAATTTGATAAAACTAGTCAGTACGGAAATTTTCACTATATGAGAATGATAGGATTTCATTTTCAAATTAACTTGGCGTTGCTGTCACTATGTAGTTAAATTTCTTCTCCCAGTTCATTTTATACATTTATTTGAAATATGCAAAAAAAAAGCGCTGTAAAGAATTTAAGAAAATATTGCGATAAAAATGTACAAAGATGCCTAAATAAGGAATGATCGACTTGGGTTGGTTGATGTTTGATCTCCCCGTGAAATTCATTGACTAATCAAGATTCTGTATTCTGTACTATTATTTATTGTCATTGCTTGTATTATTAGGCCTAACCCATTTAATCGCCTGTCCAATCTTGTGGGTTTTCTCCGGGTCCTGGTTTGTGTCGAGTGGACCTTAAACCCCATCTCTTGTATCTTATGAATAAAGAATTTCACAACTTAACGATTTCCAGAATAGCTATCAACAATTTTTGTTTTCCCGTCAAGAAATATGATTCAAAATTTAAATACATATTTCCGAAGATCAAAACTTCTAGTTATTGTCAAATAAAATTTAGATTTCTGTTAACAGGTCAAGTATTAAAAAGATTTATATGTATACTTGTATATCGAAAGGGAACATTTCTTATCAAAAGGTTTAGTGAACATTCTATTGCAAGGAGAATCCACCACCAAACATTTGAGGAAAAATTCCTTTTCTTTCCCAAGACAGTATTTGATATTACAAAATTTACCATTATGATAATAGTTATTAATTAAATTCTGATGAATATTAAAACTTCAGTTTGTATAATCTTTTAGAGGTATTTAGTAACTGGATAGAGCAATACACTATAACACATACTTATGGGTTTTCTCTGGGTCCTCCCGTTTCAACCCACTGTTAACGCCCCCTAGGTGCAAGAGAATTATTGAAATGAAATTGAACCATATGTTAGTCCCAAAATGACCTAATTTGTGTCGAGTGGACGTTAAACCCTATTTCTCTCCCATTTCAAAGATTATTCTCTCAAAGTTATCAAGCTAATAAAATTAAGTTTATACAGTATTCGTGTTCTTAAAGAATTTATCAAAGATCTAGTCACTTAATTAATACAAGAATCTGTTGTTTTGTTCTATTGGCCAATAGAAAATATATATTAAAATCAAATATTTATATAAAATAAAATGTTTAAAGGCTCAATACCACTCTTATTGTAACTGAATAATATGTACCAATCTTTATTCTGGTCAACAAATTATACTATTTTACAATATTACAATTATTTGATGATACAAATTTCATCTTAACACACCTAATTTAAAAAATTGGAAAAATTCAACTAAATGATTTGAAAAGCCTTACGTAAAGCTTTTCAAATGTGACTTGGATTTAAAAATGTTTTCGAACCCTCTGGACAAGTAAAATAGGATTTAATGGATAATTTACACAACAGGTAGGATACTTAAACATTTAATACTTAGAATAAGACTATTATTTATTTTCTGGAGCTGTCAAGCCAGCAAGAGTGTTATTTTCCCTTTAAAGAGGGATTGAGACATTGTTTCAGAAGAACAGTTTATGTTGATATGTAATTATGTAAATCACATTTTTATTTCACATACATGTTAATCCATACTAAATAGAATTATAGTTGCTCGGGACGTTAGGACGTTTAAACATTTACATTCAGGCCTCTTATCATCAACTTAATACTGTTTATCAAATCAGGATAGAATCGTAGAGCTTTTGGACGTTTAAATGTTTACATCGAGGCCTCTTATAATCAAGTAGATATTGTTTATCAAATCAGTATAGAATCGTAGAGATCTTAGGTGTTTAAATGTTTACATCGAGGCCTCTTATAGTTTATCATTTTAATTAAAATCATCAAGCATTCAGATGTTCAGACGTTTACATTCAGGCCTTTTATCATCAACTTAATATTGTTTATCAATCAGGATAGAACGTAGAGTTTTTAGGCGTTTTAATGTTTACATTCAGCCCTGTTATCATTCTAAATAGAATCATCGAGCATTCAGACCTTTAAACGTTTACATTCAGGTCTTTTATCATCAACTTGATATTATTAACACATTTTAAAAAAATGTTTTTAAAACATATTTTAACCTCGTCTACTTATTAATTAATTAATTAATTAACTAATTAATATCTTTTAATATTTTAGAGTTGTTAAGGACATGGTTTTAATTGTCCATAATTCTAACTATTTTTAGTGCCTGTCTTTCTATTAGTTCCTGACTTGATGGGCTTTTTTAAAACAATATTTTTATTCAGGATGTCTGAATGGGATTGGGGAACAGACTTAGCCTATGTAAACCCCTCTTCCTTGACTTTATTATGATTAGTTTTGTCATGGCTTTGTAGTTCATATAGTAATCATCAGAATATGTAGAATCCTATTTTCTGCTGTAGAACAAATCGGTTGCTAAGTGATAGATGTTTATTATTACGTTTTGAAAATGTTTATTTTATGTAAATCATCATGTTCATGGTTGTAAATAACATCATGTAAATAATCAAAACTCTGTTTGCAATACATAGTGGTGATCACAGGGTCATCAAAGGTTAATTGTGGTGATCACGGGTTCATCAAAGGTTAATTGTGGTGATCACATTCACAGGGTCATCAAAGGTTAATTGTGGTGATCACATTCACAGGGTCATCAAAGGTTAATTGTGGTGATCACGGGTTCATCAAAGGTTAATTGTGGTGATCACAGGTCATCAAAGGTTAATTGTAGTGATCAAGAGGTCTTTGGAGGTTGATATGTTAATATAGAGATCATCAAAGGTTAATCAAAAGTTACTATGGTGATCTAGAGGTCATTAAAGGTTAATTGTGGTGATGTAGAGGTCAACAGAGATTAATATGGTGACCTATAGGTCATCAGAGATTAATTATGGTGACATAGAGGTCATCGTATGTTAATTATGGTGATCTAGGAGGTTAATTATGGTGATCTAGTTGTCATCAGAGGTTAACTGTAGTGATATGATCATCTGAGGTTAATTATGGTGCTCTAGAGGTTAATTAGGGTG